GGGCACTGCCGATGTGTAAGCGTAGGGGAAGGAGGTAGAGAGATTGGAGAAATAATAGGTGAATGTAATTGTCGAAATGGGGTAAAGGTAGAGGAGAAAAAGAATGGTGGGGGGGGGGGGGGGGGGGGGGGGGGGACCGAGAAGAAGGACAATCCTAGTAGCCGTGAATCCCGTGCTGTTCATCTGATCCATGTCACTGATGGTCAGCAATAAGGTATCCGTGAATTTTGAGTCAGGACAATTAGCAAACCTAAGAATCAAATATTTAGGTCTAATTATTACATCGTGTGAGCAGCTAGCAGGAATCCGCTCGTAGAATGATGAGGGTTTCTAGAAAAATATCATATACCCCACCCAGATTTTTTCAGAGACAACCCCCAGGAAAGAGTGCTTGCACTTTGAGGCCAAATCAGGCTGCTGACACTGCTTTTGCGTCTGTCCCCTAATTTGCTCTTTATGGGGGATTTAGGAGGGGTGGTTCAATGGGCTAACTTCCTTGATCCTACGAGCTCAAACGAGATCAGGTTCTAAAACCTCTTTTCGCTGAATCGCTGAATGTTACAAATAAGCTAAAGTCATGGAAAAATTCCCGTATATTGTCAAAACAATATTGTGCAATTCAGCAGCAGAAAATTTGTTGACGCTGATAAACGAAATGTACATTTAAGAAAACGTTATTTTGTCAAAAGATCTCGTTATTTGACGAGTACGTGACCAGACGGCGTCAGTAATTCACTTGTGTCGCAAGCTGTGTTGCAAGAATCTTTTCCCGTCAATGAGAATTTTTATGAAAACATAAAATATTGACTCATTTGTTTATATTGGACCTGAGTGTTTTGTTTTGTTCCGGCTGTTTGTTCTTGTTCTTTTGCTTTGTTGGGTGTCGTTCTCTCTTGGTTTCATGTACTTTTGAAACATGATCTTTAATGTATACCCGGGTACTTTTAAAGTTTGGAGAGACCTAGCCAGAAAGCGAGCTTTTGCCATCCAGATCTCAAGTGAGACTGCTGGGTCCAAGACTAAAATCAAACCCATAAAAGCCTGAAGGATAAATAAACCCTATAACCACAATGATTTTAGTTATGGAGACGGAAAGTTGACAGAAACGACCAGACAACCCTGGCCTATACCGAACTAATTTTAGAATTTGCTGTCATGCGAGAGTAACTGAACCAGTATCACAATAATTTGAATTTTTAACTAAGGTTGCCGTAATATCAATTTTTTAAAAATGGTCGGTTGATAGATGAAACCATGGTGATAGCTGAGGCCGCCAGAATCCAGAATACACGGAGCCGCTCTCTCCCACCTTTTAATGCCACTGGCTCCAATTTTGTACCGCCGCGGTATGAATCAATTCTGAGATCAGACGATTGTGGCCGGATTTTAACAAAATAGTAGAGTCGACTGTTTTTGGTAAATTATTTGTACAAATCAGAGAAAAAACCATTATAGTTTTTTTTTTTTACCTATCTACCATTTAAGGAAAAGAAAAGCCAGCTTCTGATGACATGGCTAACGGATCTCGTAAGTCTGAAGGAATCAGCGTGGGGGAGTTTTGGCGGCGGGGACGTAGTTTACCGAGCGATAAACCACATTTTCCCGCCCGCTTCTTAAACATGGGCTTACAGCCTAGTAAGTAGAAATTTCAAAAAAAACACCCGTAAAATGAAGCATTCGTGCGCGATCGATCCCGCCAAACACAAGCTAAATACTGCAGGATCGTAATTTCGCCCGTTTTGGATTAGGTGCGATTCCGGCCAGCATGAACAACCGGCAGATGTTTTTTAAAAAAGGGTATGCGGAATAAGCAGACCGTCTGTTTTCATTTCTGTGAAGGGAAACGGAAGAACCAGTCATTTTCCTAGCTGATATAGACTCAGTTCTCCCCAAATTTGGTCATCATACAGTGCCTCATGAAATCGTGCCCGGTCGGCAGTAAAGTTTTGCGTGAAAGCCGGCACACTAGGTGTAAGGGAGTTCTGGGGGATTTCGTGTATCCTGTAACCCGCTGTAGGTCATTGCTGTACTTAGCGTAGGGACCTAGCGACGTGATTATAGGGTTTTTCCTTCTCCGTTTGTTTCTTTTTCCACAAAACCTTAAAGATCAACCTGTACCTTACAACTACTGAAATAAATTAAGTACAGTCCACGAGTTCTCGGCGTAATATGAAGGTCGCCTTTACTAGATTGGATGTCACTAAATGAACTTTAATTGCTTCGTATCCAGATCAGGATGACTCGAACCATGACTGAAAACACAAGACAAGGGGGGTTTTAGCTAGGAGACTATGCATGGGTATTTCTGACAAAATGGAAGTTGCCGACTGACCGCTATTGATGAACAAAAAGCTCGCTAGTCGGTAGCGCTATCGCACAAAATAATTCTTCGGATATGCAAGAGGCGATTTCTTTGAAAAGAGACGATTTTATGGAAAGTGTTCGACGCAAGTACGCTAAGTGGTTCTTTAGACTCTATTATTACTTGGAAAAAAAGTTCTGGTAAATAAGCAATGTGAATCATTATCTGTTTTAATCTCTCAAATCTAAGAAAACTCGACATACTAGCTCGTACTCTTGTGCGGTGGTTTTATCTGGAAAATCGTCTCTAAAAGCGGACTAAAGGCTTCTAGGTGATACAGATTAGCAGGGTTAGCCGGAGGTTGGCCCCCGGGGGGGGGGGGCGGCTGTGGGTATGTACAGCAAGTATACAGGTCTTTTTTTTAATCAGGTTGCAATGTGATTAGTGATAGCACTGACTTATCCCTTGCACCCCGCCAAGCCAGCGATGAATGTGTGGGTGGAAATACAAACTTACAGGTAAGATAATTTTGTGATCAGTAATGCGGTTATTACTCATTGATCCGCTGAGCTCTCACGTCGATATCCGGCATCTGAAGATTTGGGATGGGATTAGATCACTTACTTCAAAGTAAAGGTGCTGCGGTTGCGGCAGGTGATTGGCCGTCTTTTGAGCACTTTTGAAATGAATTATCTGATTAAGGGCCTCTATATTGTTAATTAATTTTAGGATTTTGCGTGACTACTGCTCCTCACGTTCAGTACTTCGCACGCCAGTGAAACGTCAGTTGGCATGTTATTGGCGAAATCGCTCGGAGTGTACGTGAGAAACAATAGCCTGCACTGAACAGCTCCTGCCGCCTGCGGGCAGACGTCTCCAGTCAGTCCAGTTTCATTAGGAGCTGACCTTTGCACGGTGGCTAGAAAATCGAAGGCAAATAAACTCGGACAATAACGTTCTCTTCACTCAGTCAGACTCAGTGCATCAACACAGACCCACAGGCCGGCGGTAAGACAGACTGACGTCCCCCGAGTCGAAGCGTCTCGCAAGTAAACTTTGACGACCTGATTTTAAGAAGGCTAATACTGTATTAAACTTAATCGATGCCAATAAATCCAGTTCTTTGATCTAATACACAATAATGTTGACAATATTCAGGCGGTGCGATAGTTCTCTAAAAAGGAACGAAGAACGCTTTATCGCAAGCTATATTATAGACCCAGTCTCTATGACCTCTATGGTACAAAAGCCTTGCTCTTCACAGAAGTAAAAAAAACGCTAATAACATCTTGCTAATCAAAATGTTTTACTATTAACTGCTGTCAGAAGGTCAAAAAGAGCTAAATTTT